AAGTGGGTTGGGCTGAAAGGGGGAAGTGGCTAATCCAAAGTCACCCAGCTGGTTTTTCATGGCTAAGTGGGGACTAGAACTCACCGATTCCTGATTTACAGCAGATGCCGTAACCATTTGATCAAACTGGCTCAAACTTGCATCGTCATCGTGTATCACAACTTTTTTCCCCTTCACTAAAGCAGGCATGGCCAGCGTGTGACACATCAGGCCCACGAGCCATAGTTTGACAGCTCTGATCAAAGTAGTATTTGATATCCTCAAATTTATTTTGAATTTGAATGGTCAAGATAACATTGAATACTACTGTCCAAGCAACTGGAATAGGGGTGGGTTCCGGCAGGCACTACTGCCGTTTCACTCATGGCTGCGCTGCCTCTCCCCTCCCCGCATGCTTGATACATGCTGTGCGCACATGCACAATTCAATAAAAATTGTTCTGCACATGCACAGAAGCCAAAAACAAGAACTGGTTTGGGGACATGGCAGGCCTGGGTCACTGCCGGTTCGTGACCCAGGCCGCCAAACCACTTCCGGTTCAGCTGAACCAGTCCGAATTGGTAGGAACCCACCACTGTACTGGAAGTACGTCACGTAGAAGAAGGGGAAGAAGTCTCTCATTCCAGACTGCAGGAGACAGAACAATGGATTTAAGTTACAGGAAAATAGATTCTGATGGAATGTTAGTGGGGAAATTCTAACAATGGTAGCAATCTGACAGTGGAAGCAATTACCCAGAGAGATTGTGGGCTTCTTTTCATTAAAAGTATTCAAGGAGAAGCTAGATCGCCATCTGTCTGGGATGCATTAATCTGATTCCTGTGCTGAACAGGAGGGTTGACCCAATGGCCTTTTTAATCTATCTGAATCTATGACGCTGTTACGGACAATACCATAAATGCAACCACTATGAAATTTAATATCTCTTCTGCTTGGCTATTTTTGTGTAAGATTTTTTAAAATTGCACATATTTATCATTGAAATCGATTTAAAGAAATCAATGGGAAGTTCAGTTCAGAAATTGTACTTTTTATATAGCACACAATCAAACAAGGGAATTAATTACCTCAAGTAGTAGTAATGGACATCATAATCTTATTGCCTTTTTAAGGACGCGGCTTGAATACATTTATTGGGAATAAGCCTTATTGAAGTCAGTGGGAACATGCACAAGAGTTTGAAAATGAATGGAGAATAACTCTTACTAATCAAGAAAGGAAAATTACATCTTAAGGTACCTCTGGTCTTGGTCTTGGAACTAATATTTAGGATATCCAGGTTCTTAATTATCCATAGGCCAGTTCTTTGGATTGATTCTTTTAAGATTATTATATTTTTATATAAAATGTTAGCAGATATTGTTGTGAGTGTAGGCATAGGTAATGGTGGAGATGCTAAAAAGGAAATTAGGCTGCTTTGGATCAACTGCTGCCAATTTGTTTCAGATATTAAAAACACAAAGCTGAACATACCTGTTCAGAAATTTAGTAACTCTCATTCTGTCTTTTTAAGTACTGGATGCAGTACCTGTATATTGATAAAGGGCTGCTGCAAAATCATACTGAGAACTATACTCTCAGTGGTAGATTAGAATGGCCAAATCACTGTGACACACATTAAATTCTTTATATGTTTTAATAACGAGCTAAAAGTCATATTGGATCAAAATATCGAGCTCAGCTTTGCTAGTAGACTGTGTCCACTCCTATTCTTCAAGAGGACTCATATTCTTGCATGCTTAATATCTACTTTGTAGATTTCAGTGTACTCCTGGTTAAATTTGGAAGTTGCATCTACCGCGTTAAGTACGATCAGCAAACCTCTCCCAATAAACAAAGATTTATTCACCATCTTTCAGCTCCACATAAGCAGATGTAGGGCCTGGATGCTCCCTCCCCTTTGAAGAAATCACAGATGGCTGGATTTGCTCAACTGCATGATTTGCAAAAAGGCCAACAGGGGATACACAAAGCTTATTAAGCCAGAACAGTTGTGTCTTAGTGAGATATATGAACCAGGCCAAAATTTTCCTCCTGTTTGCTTTCCCTACACTAAATGTCTAAAAATTATCTATTTTATCTGAGGAAAAACATCTCATTGAATAGTGGGAACATATGGGGAGCAGTTGTGGAGTACAGCTGGAAGAATGAGGTCTTTGTGGTTTCATTCTGATTCTGTGTAGTTCTAGGTAATATTCTATGCATATCCTACATTGGGCAATGAATTAACTCTTAGATGCTCATCCAACCTTTCCATATTATGATTCAAGTTATGAGGTAACATGATGTCTTTTTTATTGCTTGGACCCTGTTTTAATCTTCTATTTCTATTCCTCTCTTCCATTCTCAAAAACCCGTTTATTCAACAAATGAGTCTATCGCCAATCAAGTCTTGCCTGCCCCAATTAAACAATACCTGAAAACTACCCATTGCAGAACTTGGCAAGCTTTCCCATTATAGCAGGATAATTTTAGATTATTTAGATTATTATTTAATTCACTCGGTTCTCTCAGTTTTTGGATCGATTGTGTTCCTAGGCATGTCGGCATGCCTTCTATTTGCTCCTAGAGATATAACCCACCATTGATCTTGCCAAAATGAGGGGGGAAAGGAGATTTCTGCTGCAGTATTTTGGATCCGTGGTGCTCTTTTTATTCTGAGGCGACAGCAATTCACGACGCTATTACCATTGGAAGGAAATGATGTCTGGAATAGAGAGGACGGTTGCAAGTCTGATTCACCCAGCACCGTTTGCTAAATAAAACTGAATGGCTTGGGTCCCCACGTCAGCAAAGCGCACGCCTGCTTCCCCGTCCTGCCCCTCGGCGACCCGTCCGCCCCACCCTCCCACTGGTGGCGCTGTGGCCGGAGGTCTGGGCCGCCACCGCAGGGAGCTGCCGTCATCGCCTGCCCTCTGCCGGGCGAGGAGGAGCAGGAGCGCGCCGAGTGACGTGCGCCCCCCCCCCCCGATCCCGGAGCTTAGCATGATTCATCAACAGCTGCCGCTAAGATGCTGCGCGCAGCCCCGATGTAGCTCTTGAGCGCCGATCCTCTCGCCGCACCCCCGGCCCGAGACTTTCCCTTTGCCTTTGGGCGCCGCGGGAAAAGGCAGGCAAGATGGAAGAAATCTTAAAGAAGCTGCAGAAGGAAGCGTCGGGGAGCAAATACAAGGCGATCAAGGAGAGTTGCACCTGGGCCAGCGGTAAGGAAGCGAGCGGCAGGCGGCAGGCACCTTCCCTCTTCCTCCCACTCCACCTCCGCGCCAGCTCTTCCTGGGCTGCTTTTCCGATTCCTTCTGCGCCAGCTGCACGTTCCCCCATTATCGCCCAACCTACCTTTAAAACCCCGGGGCTGGGGTGTTTTAGTGCCGTGTGTGAATGCGCTTTTGCGTCGCGTCCATCCTCGACTGTCGATCTCTTCGCTCCGCGGGTCGAGGGACTCTTTGCTCTCCTGGCGATGGGCTCCCCTCCGCCCACATCTCCGGTGTATTTACTCTGGTATACGTCTATGGAGATTCTCAGTCATCCAGGTCATGGTGGTCCCAAAGGTGCTTTTTTTTTTCAAGAAAGCGTTTCGCTTCTCATCTAAGAAGCGAAAGGACTTCAGAGAAAAACCAGAAAGTCCAGTTGTCTCTTGAAAAATACTCTGGTATATTTTTACAGTCACCTCTACGCCTGCAGTAAATTTCCATGTACTCCGATTGTGTTAAAGCTAATTCCTTTAGCTCTTTTAAAAGCTCTTTATTCTAAAGATGGATTGTTGGTTTTTTTGGAGGGGGGGAGTCAATTGTTACTTCTGATATTCTGGGCAACAAGTCTGTCACCCAATTGCTTTCCGTGCTTAAGGCAGGGCTATAACTTGGGTGTCCCTGCTTCTAGTGCATGGCTTTAACCATTAGGCCAAACTGGCTCTGCTTCTAAGGTGTAGAAGTTGTCAAGGAAAGTGATAAAAACATAAAAATGCTACAAGTTGCCCTCGGTTTATGACCCTGGCTGGGACAGGAAAATCCATTGCTAAGCAATCGTGATTGCGCACAATTTTATACCCTTTTCTGCCATGGTTGTTCAGTGAGACATCACATGGCTGTTTCTTTTGATTTTCCCTGCTGGCTTACCCATTGACTTTGTTCATCCAAAGCCAACTGGGAAGATCACAAATGGTCATCACAGGACTCCAGGAAGCTGCTATTATGGTACATAGAAATCGTGGTTGGCAAGAACCTGGTTTGCAGTCAGGTGATCTTGGTGATCCTGTCATGCTGTAAGCATGACGAGTCGTAACTTTTTTCAGCACCATCATAACTTTGGATGGTCCCTAAACAAGTGGTGTTGAAGACTGCCTATACACTGATAAATTGAGGACTATGCTGATTTAAGTGTTGGAGTACTCAGAGTATCCATGCATTCTCCCTTGCAAGAATCAGTTTTCAGATGAAAGAACTATCACAGAAGACTTTTTGAAGGGAATTTTTTATAATTCAAAGATTGTCCAAGACCCTTTGACACGTCAAAACCCCGTAGAATGGTGATAGCAGGGCCTTTTAATAATTGGCAGCAGGCCAGCCTGGCAAACAATCAGCCATTGTCTTCTAGCTGTAGCAACATATTGTATATTTTTTTCTCCTTTAATGAAACATACACTTAATCTATTGCTACAGTCCCTTTGGGATTGTTTGTTTTTAGTCCATTTTTCTTGGTTTGGTGATCTATAAGTGACTCTTTACAATAAACCAAGCAGGAATGTTACTGCAATCTGCATATCTGCAGGTAAGGAATATTAAAAGGAAAATGGTACCAATAACAGATTATCATCATCATCATCATCATCATCATCATCATCATCATCATCATCACAACAGAATTGTATNAGTTAGACTTATATACCGCTTCATAGGGCTTTCAGCCCTCTCTAAGCGGTTTACAAAGTCAGCATATTGCCCCCAACAACAATCCGGGTCCTCATCTGAGTGGAAGTTTGAAAGATTCTAGCTTGTCAATTACCTCTGGTCCAGGTGGGCCTGATGGTCCCTGAGGTCCTGGATCTCCCATTTTCCCCTAAAATTAGAACCTGTATTATGAATCCAAGATTTTCTTAAGAGATACAGAAAACGAAATTGCATGTTATAGTAATGTGCGTTTTTTATGTCCAGCATTTGAATCTTGTTGAATTTAATAAGAAAATTCTTTGCCTTTTGGAAATTACTGCTGGATTAGTAAGAAAAAAATTACAAAGAGTATTAGTATTGGTAATAATACATTTTTAAATAATAATATTATAGTATATTATATTATAAAAAGCCAATGCTTTTATCACACATGTCACGATTAAATTTAAGATTGTACATATACAGAATCTGAATTTGAAACCAATAAATTAGTTCATACTAAAACACTCCAGAGAAGGTCTGATTATGTGGGCAATAAGAGCTGATACCAGCCTGAAGTCACATGATCAACCAATTTGATTAAAATTGATTAATAAAAATTCATTTTCAAAATCCATTACCAAAAGCTAAATCATGAAATATTAAGGTTGCCTATTTTGTTAAATGGCTCTGCTATGGAAAAAATATTAATCTATGTTTAAATATTATATGTGATTACCCTTATAAAAGAGAAACGTATCTTATTCCAGTAGTACATAAACAGTTTAGTTCAGAAGTAAAATACAGACAGACATTGATTTATAACTGCTCATTTAATGATGGTTCAAATGATGACCTCAGAAAAAAGTATCTTATGATCTGTTCTCAAAGTTATGACTACTGCAACCCGTGCAGTCTTGTGATCCCCATTCAAGAGCTTGGCAACCGGTTTCCATTTATAACAATTGCAGCATCTTGCAGTTATGTGATCATGATTTATGATATTCCCAGCTGGCTTCTGACAAGCAAAGTCAATTGGGGGAGCCAGATTTGCTTCATAAATGCATGACTCACTTGATGACGGCAATGATTTGCTTAGCGACTGAAGCAATTTGCTTAATGATCATGGTAATAATGATCAATAAAATCAGGTCCAGTCATTATGACTTGCTTAACAACCGCATTGGTCAGTGCTATGGTGAAGTGTAGTCCAGATTCCCAGGAAGGAGGGAGGAATAACAGACAGCGAAGTTTCGATAATTTAGATGGGAAGAAGAGGGTCAAATCAGTTATTACCTAGACATTTTCAGAGTATATGATGATGCAAGTAGTTTGCTATTAATTTGGCAAAATTATGTCTATAGGAATAATAAAGGAAACTGCTTAGAAGTAACTCTGCATGTCTTTCTTGGGTTTTTGTTTAAAGCCTGATGGCGACCAAAATTAGGATCCTAATTAAGGACTACCTGTTTTGTCATCATTTTCCATTTATGAAACCTTATGCAGTAACAAAATTGATTAACGCATAAAATGGAACAAAGGTTTTCATTGCAAAACTAAAATGATTTCCTAGAGTTCTTCCCCACTTCTTTTCTATATTGCTATGGTTGGAATAAATGATTTTTAAATGTTTTTCAAATTTTCAACATTCCTTCTAAGAGATGTGTATAGTTATGTATACATATATAATGTAATTCAACATGACAGATATTATCGGAATTTCACAAGTCCTGATTAAGAAAGACATTTAAAAACCTTTAAATACATTCAGTTCAACAACTTACATACTTTAATGCTGTCTGTTGTTGTTTACATTTCTTTTATAATATATGCCTGGTAATAATATATAAGATTCAGTTTGCAATATTTTATATATTCTTGATTACCAATGTGCCAATAAAGTGATTCCAATTAAATATTTAAATCCAAAGCAGGCATTAACACATACCGAGGGTCCTGGTTTTCCTCGATTTCCTGGAAGCCCTGGCAAACCAACAGCACCCTTTGAGGAAAAAAAAGAGTCAGGAGTTGCTAAAATTAAAATAACATAAATAATTGCACTCTGCTATTAAAAACAGAAGGAAGGTGATGCTATCATTCTTTCTAAAGAATATTTTTATTCTGTCCTGTCATTTGAAAGTCACAGTACAGGAAAATATAACAATTGCTTTGGTTTTTTCATAGATACTTACTGTTACAAATCTTTATGAAATATATAAATAAAATAAGATGTTGGTATTTCCTTTTTTAAAGATCCCTTGATAGGACCAAGCTATTTTAATGCATACATTTTAAAGCAAAGAAAAATGCTTTTAGCTTTCCTTCTGCTCTTACCTAACTCTATTCTGCTAAAGGAACATATATACTGTAGGTCGGAGTCAGTGGTGGGTTCCCGATCCCGTTCCGGGCCCGGTGTTGCCCACATGGACGCGTGCAGCGCGCATGCATCATAGCTGCCAGCGACACTTCTGCAAGCCTCCACAACACTCCAGCTGCTCAGCGGAGCATTGCGCAGACGCTGTACGTGTCAAGAACCTGCTCAGAAGCGCACAGGGCTTTAAAGAACAGGTAAGGAGCTCGGGTGGGTGGGTGGGCCCTCTGGAGCACCGTACCGGAACGGTACTCGATGTTCCGGGCAGGCTGTGGTACGCCTGCATACCGCCTGCAGCCCACCACTGGTCGGAGTAATAAATAGCAGTATAAGCTGGATTGGGGTGCATGATTTCTCTCTCCCCCATTATGTATTTGTTTCCTATCAGTCAACCTGCAGGAGAACCCAGGACGTAGAGATTTTAGATTATGCCTCTAGTGTACTGTTTCTAAATATACCCATTTTATCAGAAAAGGAACAAGGTAAGCATATGACAGGAGGTATTATGCAAGAGAGTTTTACTTCTAATAAACTGGTACTATTTGTAACTGGCTCTGTCCCTATAGCAGCTACTTGCGGATGGGCATTTCCTTCATTCAGCAGCATTTTTGCAAGAAATGCCAATAAAAATTCCAAATGTGCCAACAAGGCCAAAAAGACTGAGATTCCTGGATGATGTAATCATTAATTAATTACTTAACAGTAATCAGAATTTAAAAGTGGAAGATCCAAGAGATTTCATGTTCTTCTTCTTGATGCTTATGACCTTTAAAACCTCTGTGGGTCAAGAATTTTACTGATATGGATGATCTGTTTCAGAAAGCTGCCTGTAAGTATCAAGATGCTTCAACATGAATTTGAGTAATTCTCTAGTCTTTCCTTTGCTACTCACTGACATTAAGCAATTGGCAATATCAGCCTTGGTTCCAAAGCAGCCAATTGCCACTTATTCAGCCCTTGTCGCCAGCTGAGAATAGAATAGAATAGAATAGAATAACAGAGTTGGAAGGGACCTTAAAGGTCTTCTAGTCCAACTCCCTGCTTAGGCAGGAAACCCTACACCACTTCAGACAAATGGTTATCTAACATCTTCTTAAAAACGTCCAGTGTTGCAGCATTCACAACTTCTGGAGGCAAGTTGTTCCACCGATAAATTGTTTTGACTGTCAGGAAATTTCTCCTCAGTTCTAAGTTGATTGGATGCTGGGGCCAGAGAGAAATGGAAAGCGCAAATAGAATTATGGCCCTCCTTTCTTCTCTTGCACCATACAATCTTCAGGTTTCTGTGAAAGAAAGTTAGAAGACACTGGAGGCACCCAAGTGGCTAAAACCTTTCTAAATGTCATAAGTCATGGTCCCAGCATTCTGTAAGTTAGCCCCTATGACCTTGTTTCAATAATTGTTGCCCTATACTTTCCAATTGCACCCAATTGAAGGTTACACACACAATATAGATTGTGATAGCACTCATGAATCAATAACTTGATGAGACTGAAACAATGGGCATTGCAGTACATATTGTGAAGTTTATATACATTTTATAAAATGAAGCTCTTTTGAATTTACCTTGTCTCCTGGATACCCCACCTCTCCTTGCTCTCCTGTAATGCCTTGTTCACCCTACAATGGCATTATATGATATAATTTTATCAAGGTATTATTATAGTACAGTATATTCAAAAATATAAGAGTTATAAATAACACATCTTATAATGTTTAATGAACACAGAAATAACATGCTTGCTATTATTTTAGAGACTAATATATTGTCCTGCTCTCTCTCTCGTGGTCTCTCTCTCTCTCTCTATTTCCCTCTCTCTCTCTTTGCCTACATTTATGTCTGTATCTGTCTATGTGTCTATATAAAACTTCAGTGTCTCTAATAGTTAAAGCAGCTAATAAAACAAATAATTTTAATCACTAAAATATTAGATGTGGCCAGTCGGAATCACACATGAGCAGCTTCTGGCAAATAAAATTCAGATGACCTTACTGAAAAAAAAAGTCAGAAAAAGTTCCTATAGATAAGATTCAAAGTTTTAATTTTTTTTATAATGAAATTATTTAGATCACCTTATCACCTTTCAATCCAGGTTGCCCCATACTCCCTGGAAGACCCTATGGAAAACAAAGAAGAATAGCATTTAAGACTCTTTCACTGTTTACAGTAGCAACCTGGCTTCATAATAGCTCTACAATACTGTACCGGAGGTCCAGGAATCCCAGGAAGTCCAGATGGTCCAGCTTTTCCCACAATACCCTAAAATATAATGAATAAAAATAAAATGAATAAACCCAGAAATATAATGAACAAACTGATGTTTCTTTGCATTTTGAGGGGATACTTGAGGGGATACTGCTAAACAAATAATTCCCTCAATACTGTCAAACTATTCAGTAAGTCTGCATTACTATTAATCTTTTCATCATTCCTATCACCCATCTCCTCCCACTTATGACTCTATGATTGTAACTTTGTTGCCTATATTCTTACGATTTATATTGATTGTTTCCTAATACAATTTGATTGCTTCTTGGTACCCTATGA